GCCCTCCCCCCCCCCCCCCGGGGGGGGGGGGCGCTGCTTACCTGTTGGTGTCCCAGACGGCTTCGAGCCAGGGCGTGCCGGGCTTGAAGTGGTCGCTCGCGTGGAGGGACAGGGCCTTGCGCTGGCGGCGACGGCGGAGGCGGGAAAAGGCAAAGAAGATGCCGGCGCGGCGGCAGGTGAAGAGGGGGGCCTCCTCGAGGAGGAGGGTGCCGGGGGGGAGGGGACGGGTGGCGAAGGCGCCGAGGCCGCCGGTCGGGGAGGGGCGGATGGCGAAGGGCTTGCCGGGGGGCGGCGGCGGCGGCGGCGGCGATGGCGGTGATGGCGGCGATGGCGGTGATGGCGGCGATGGCGTAGTTGGTTCTTCTGATGCTGGCTTCTCGGGGGAGGTCGGCGGTGTGGGAAGGGCGAAGACGGCGGCGGCGGTGTCAGTGTCCATTGTTGTGAGCGAGGGGTGGTGGCGGCGAGGGAGGACTGACGAAGAGTTGAGAGGGAGGAGGGAGGATTGACGAAGAATGAGGGTTGATAAGGGGAGAGGGTTGACGAGCGTCGGGCAAGGAAGTGAGGAAGTGACAGTCCCGAGTGAGAGTCCTGAGGAAACGATGGCCTTGTTTGCCTCCTCAAAGTGATTTGATTCACATGTTCTGGCGTATAAACACGTTATGTACAAAGTTTTGATTTACTCGCTATATCTATTTTCATCCCCTCTATTGCGCCCAAAATCACCAGTAAAATACAATCATGGAAAATAGACAACTCCTCGAGAAACTGCATGTCTGTACAGTTTTATGCCAGTGTATAATACCCGCCCAAACAGAAAACTAACCGTGTTGGCTCAAATGCATGACTTTCCAGAAGCCTGCTTGAGTCACAGGTATCAATCTTTTTTTTAACCAAAGAAAACCTTTTCCCGATTTTTTGTATGGATAATACAACAGCCGATGAACATGTCGACAGTGCGTGATCGATTAAACAATTTGGAGCGAAGAAAAAGGACAGGCGCCCCAAAGGAAAGTCCAAAGAATACAAGGTGGAATGTAAAGACGTGGCGAGTTTAGAAGCCATACTTCTTCTTGGGTCGGAGAGGGCAGTCTGCACGGCAGTCTGGGCAGCGCAGGCAGCCCGGCTTGGCCCAGATTCGTCGGCACTTGCACACCCAGAGATCGCGGCCGGTGCGAGTGGTGAGGCAGTCAAAGGGAGCGTGGAGACCTTCGCGAACACCGCACTCAATGCAGAAACGTCGCAGAGAAATTTGCCTGTCTCGGCCAGGCTGAGGGTCGCGATCCGTCACCAGGTGGCCGTGGGCGTCGACATAGGCATGCTGGGGTTGCAGCATGTCAAAGTGCTCGGGAGAGCGGACCCGGAAGCAGACATAGCACTCAAAGTTTCCAGGCTTGTAGTCGTGGCCCTTTTCACTAGGCCGGTGCTGCGGGAAGTCCTTGGCGGCTCTCATGACGAATTGAGCTTTGTCAGCCGGGTCGGCCATGTTTTGAGGATCAACCGTGCGGTTGAAATATCGATTAGTGCCGGACAACTGAATAAGAGACTGGTAGTCTAAATCACCATAGACCTTGCTCTTGACAGCGTTTGGCAGACGTTCAATTCCGGACGGCATGGCGGAGGTTGATGGTGACTGCGGTGATGGCAAATGATACTGCTGAGATTGTCGGAGGGGAGGGGAGGCGACGTGTTGCGAGTGTTGACGCGAATGCTGACGCGAGTGACTTGTGTGATGTTGCTGATGGTATTGCTGTGGTGCCTGGTGATGATACTGGTGGGGGCTGTGTTGCTGGTATTGTTGAGGTTGTTGATGTTGATAGTGAGGTGGTGGGCTGTGTTGATAGGACTGGTGCCTTTGGTAGGTATCGTGGACAGACTCGGGACTTGGATAGTCGGCAGCAGAGGCGTTGGATCGTCGATATTTATGAGCGCCAGGAGGACTAGGCAAGGCAATCATGGTAGACGACGACATTGACGAAAGTGACGGGCAAGTGTAGGTGGGCCGAGCAATCTCGATGATCGATGCAAGATTAGAATGGTGTTAAGGTGGTGGGTGGTGATGCACGTCTATGCGCGTGGTGCATGCGACTTGCACGCAAGGTCTCGAAACGCGGTGTTGTTGGTCCTGAGTCGAGATGGTGGGCTATGTGAATGGTCTCGCTATGCGTTGTGGCGGCGGGTTGGCTGTTGGCGGGACAGAAGATGTGTGATCGAGAGAGTAATAGAGGAAGAGAAGGGGGGAGAGAACAGGGGACGAAAGGAGGACAAGGAGGAAGAAATATGTAAAGAAGGAAAGCTATCCGAGTGGGTGGATTGTCTGATACAGGGCGTGTTTTCTGAGTCCACCAGAAAAGTAACTGGATCGGAGGCGGATCTGGACTTTAATACCAGTCGCAGATGGGCGGCCTGCAAGCAAGGAGCAAGATGTGCGACTAATAAGACGACACAACCCGGGCGAGGAAGACGACGACGACGACGACGACGACGGCAAAACCTGGGGTGGACACGCCCCAGGAGTCGGGAGGTGGCATAGCAGGTACCGGGGCGGCGGCAACGCGCAATGTGAGAGAGCGTGTGTAACTAGCGAGGCCGCATGGTCGGGCAGGGGCATGACGGATCAAGCCCAAGACAAGACATGGGAGAGACACGCCAATTCGAGATGCTTCGGCTGGATGGCTGGTGGTTTCCCGACGAGGCGAGGGCGTGTGCGTGTATGTGCGTGTGTGTGTGCTTGTTGGTGGGGAGGGGCCCCAACGGTGTCAGGCGTCTGGCCGGGTGTGGGCAAATCAAAGAGAGGGAAATCAAAGGACGAAAAAAAAAAA